TGTAATAAAAAAAATAAAAACAGACTAGTTTTCATTTACTATATAGATATATATACCTAACCAAATATTTTCGTAGTCGGCGCAAGTCGACACCGATGAAGCGCGATTTCAAAGTCGGTTTTTAGTTTTTTTTTTTAATTTTTATTAACCGACTTCTTCAAAAAACTGAAACTGCTATACAATAATGAAATCTAATGAAAAATTTAAGATTGAAAAAGTGAGAAGTGGCGTTTCATACATGTAACAGATGAATGAAAAAACTATTTATCTCACAAAATACTAAATTTTAAAAGCACATTGCTCGTTTGTTTCTCACTCCTTTGTTTGGCAGTATGAATATATATACAACTACATAATTTTATTGATAACAGACTCATTTTAAGGCTTTTAAAATGACAAACAAAATCTACCTATGTATTTCGTAAACAATCGATCAAACAAACAGGAACAAAGTTGAAGTAGATAATTCAAACAACTTACAGGTACTCGTTAAGTTTATAATCACAGTTTGTTCAAATTTCACTTAGGAATACTCTTAGAATTAATTAAAAAAATATAATTATAAGAGTTACTTAACAAATTAGAAATTCCCAAGATTAACTTGGAGCCAATCTGCCAAATTAAAAATATGACACAAAGTTGTAAACAAAGATCTTTCTCTTACTAATTACCATAGGCTTATGTAATCAATCATTGATCTCAGTATTAGTAGTATTATTTTAAATAGAACTATCTTTTTCGGTCTTTCGCCTTTCGAATGCTTTACAGCAAACATGGTCACGGAAGAGACTTATTTTATTGACATAAGTAGCAGCTACAATATATATATATATATATATATATATATATATATATATATTATATATATATATATATATATATATATATATATCCAAAAAAAAACGAAATAAAACCGCGAAAAAATAAAAATAAAAAGATAGTTTAATTTAAAATGTCAAATATTCGCGTAAATCTAAGAAAGTATTATTCTACCGATATCATTTGTATCTAATTTAAGTAAATAGAAAATCAGACCCTTAAAGATCAATCCACAATAAATTTTCATCAATTTCTAACCACCAAGTATGTATCAGATTTACCTATTCGAGTATAAATAAATTCAGTACTGTTAATCTGTAAAACTACATATAGTAATAAAATCTAATTTTAACATTAATAATATTACAATTAAAACCTGAAAGGGTTTTTAGGATATTAGTAAATTATTATGAGGTATCTATATAATAACAATTATTATATATTTTTACAAAACTCTAATCTCTATATATGTATAGCATTGCTACAGTTCAATAGATCTTTTAAAGAGGCATAATTTCGTACAAAAAAATGCATTGTTTTTATATAATTGAATTAAATGGCGCACGGGAGTAAATCTCCCAGTCGGCATGTTTTTTTTTCTAACATCTTCAACAATCATCGTCAAATTTAATCAATATACACCAAAACCTTTCTCATGAAACACTGAGTCTATTGGTGAAGACCGTATGAAAATCCGGCAAAGTTTTGAGTTTATCGCATTCAAAGAGACTAACGCGGCAGGGGAATTTTATTATAATATGTAATGATAACAATAAGTGATATTTTAAATATTTCAAGATACAGTTACATAAAAATGTTTTAATAGAAATAGAATTTAAAATCTGTACGTCGATTCACTCGCAATTTTCATGAAAAGGTTTGGAGTAATAAAAGTATATTTTTAAAAGAGAAAGTTCGTGTAAAAATCAAAAAAGAAATCTTCACTTCGCTCTTTACTTAACTTTGAAATTATAATTAAAGAGCTTTTATAGTGATTAGAAATGCTTATCGATACCTTAATTGGCAAACCAGCTAACTCCATATGAGCAAATTTTTCACGAGACACAAGTTAAGACTTTATAATATTTTTTGTACGTTACTTATTAAAAAATGTAAAATACCGTCGGTAGATAATATCGTAAGCTGATATTTTTGATATTTCATGTAAGATTCTATTGCGTTCGCATTTTACCTGTGCAATGTATTGTACCTGGAAGTTAGACCAGCTGAAGGGAGAATTTAAAAGGAGAGGTGCCTTCTGTAGTGTTAGAAAAGCAGACCTTGTTGAGAGGTTAGTAAATTTAAATTTTAATATTTTTATTTTTTTAACCCCGACGCAAAAACGACGGGGTGTTATAAGTTTGACGTGTCTGTGTGTCTGTCTTGTGGCATCGTAGCTCCCGAACGAATGAATCGATTTTCATTTTTTTTGTTTGTTTGAAAGGTGAATTAGGCGGGAGTGTTTTTAGCTATGTTTGACGAAAATCGGTCCGAGATGTCCGCCGCCACAAAATGGCGGACTACATGTCGACGGTTTTATTATATATTTTTTTATTAATTTATCATATTTTAAATTTAACCAGTACTTTAATCATACAGAATAAAATTTTGATACTTTTACAATGTCTTAACTTATTTTCTAACAATCTTAACAAAACTAATTTTATTAACTTAATAAAAAAAATATTTTTTTTTTATTTAGTTAATAATCAATAATACTTGTTTAATAGCTTTCCCGCTATAAAAAAAAATGACAAAGACAATAAAATTGGTCCATAGACTACAAATTTAATTTTTAATTATAAAAACATATAAAAAATATAATCTCTCTATAGCTATACTACTTAAGAGATAACCTTTAATCTGTTACTGACATAGACAAAAATAAACGACTAATACATGTACTTTAACGATTTAAAATATTCATAAAATATTTAATAAATACATACATACTAATAATATAAATGTGAAAGTTTGTGAAGATGGATGGATGTTTGTTACTTTTTCATGCCAGAACGGCTGAACGGATCTGGATGAAATTTGACACACAGAGATAGATTAGTTCGGGAATTGCACATAGGTTACTTTCTATCCCGGAAAAAGCACGGTTCCCGTGGGATAAATTTGTTTTTGTATAGGGACGAACCCGAAGCAAAGCAAGGGTGAGCCGCTAGTTTAGTGTAAGGATATTTAAAAAAAAAAGAATAATATTGAGTAATGGCATGTAACAATAACGTAGTGGTAGAACGATGGTAACGCGCTCGCTTGGGAAAGCGTTAAAAATGAAGCGGGTTCAAATCCCGGATGTTGCATCTCTGATATATTTATGAGCGAATCATTTCCAACATGATTACCAATTGTCTTACAGTGAAGGAAACCTTATGGACCTTGAAGCTTTCCAATCGTAAAAGTATACTTTAAATCGGTTTTAAAAGTTTATCAACTTTAGGCTAAAATCACAGAAAATAAAAATTATAAATATAAATTGAATTAGTCACCATTGTGTCATAAATATAAATGTCTAAGTCAGTAACAGGTATTTAATTACACAATTTTTATGCACAAGTTATATAAAATCAGATGGGGCTGTGTCGGGGCACACCACCGTTGGTTTAACGTGAAACGATTAACTATTTCAACGATCTTTTAGTACTTTTATTTTTCATAAATATTATGCATGTTTGAAAAGGAATTAGTAAAAAATAGTAATCTATAAGATAGCAAGGGATAGAAGATCATAGATATCATTTGTCAGAGAATACCAACGGTTACCATGGCAACCAAATACAACCGATTTCGTTACGGTCCATTTTTCACTTATGTTTCGGTCTGATTTTTATAGTCGTTTCACGTTAAAAAATGTTGGATTAATTAGAATAGAATACCACCGTCTTGGGCCAATTTATGTGACGATTTTTTTAACTATGGCAACAAATCATCGCCATCTTGGATCAACTTACGTGACACACGTAAAATAAAATGTTAATTTATATATGTAATTTGATAAGAGTTCTTTCGTCCAACAAGATAATCATATTTCCTATGATATAATATATTCATTATAATAATTTTATAACTAATTTAATCCTAAACTATGAGGCAAATACAGATCTTTAAAATCTAATAACAAAAATTAGGCAGTTACACATAGATGTGGTTATGATGGATTTTAATGACTCTGGAATTGATTTTTAATTAATAATATTCTGAAGGGACGTTTTCTTAATTCGATATAGTTAGGATTGAAAGATTGACCTTACATTTACTTTATGATAAACAAGTTTTATATCAATAGCAGATTTTCTTATACTAAGTAATTTTAATCAAAACAAAAATATTACAATAACAATCAATATTAACACTAAAAATATTGGAAAATACGATAGAGTGTTTAGGATTAAAAAGCAAAGCCTGACTAACTAACTCACTAAATTAACTCTTAGTGTATGTACGATGCGGTGGGAATTGTATTCTTTAAAGGAACTATATAATACATTCTTCACACATGTCCGCCTTATCCTTAATATTAGCCTGAATGAAATATAAACAAAACACGTTGTCATGACAACGGCTGAAACTAGCAAACATCCATACAAGTGACATTATAAGCAACTATTATAAGAAAAAAACTTATCCGATAGCACTTCACAGGGTAAGTCACATATTTCTATGTTATTCTTAATTTTAGCTTGAATCAAATAATGAAATATAAAAAAACGAGTTGTCATCACAACGGTTGAAACTAGCATATACCCGTATAATTGTCATTATGAGTATTGAGGGTAGAGGTAAGGAAAACCGTCTCTTAAGGGGGATAAATTGAAAGTATCCACGTTAAAGCTGTGAATAATAGTTCAACAACCGACTAGAATGGCGCTAGTGTAGGTAAAATGAATGATATGAATTTAGCAGTTATAAATGGAGTGAAGTGTGCTGAGTTGAAAAATCAATATTTTGGATGCTTCGAGTAGTTATCGAAGCTATTTACGTAGTTCAAAATAATTTAGTAAATGTAGCCTAAACAACTACGGTGATTTAAATGTAAGAGTGATTTATTTTTTGCGAACTTTTAATAATACTTTTGACGCTTTCTTCAAAATCTACCCTCTCAACCTCAAGACGGACATTTCGTCGTACACATAGCAAGTTCTCTTCACCTCTATAATGAGGAGCAAAAATTACAAGAAGAACAACTTATCGGAGAGCACATCGGAGGGTTGCTGGTGTATGTTCTGGCCGACCAGGTAGGCCAGCTTGTGCGCGTACTGGCAGGGCGCCGGCACGCGCACGGCGCCCGGCCAGTTGTAGTACAGGTGGCACAGCTTGTAGGTGAGGCGCTGGCACTGGTCGGGCGCCATGCCGCCGCCGTCGTGCGCCACCACGTAGTGCGTCGGCGTCACCGTGCCCTGGTTCACCTTCTGCGACACTATCAGGAAGTCGTACCTGAAAAGTTTATGTTCGAATATATTATGATGATGTCAGTTCGATTAATGATATATGACTGGTGATTATTAAGGGATAGTATTACAATATTTAATATTCATTTTTTGTCCGTCTGTCTGTTTGTTCTGGCTGATCTGCCTGATGTGTCATTTTTTGTTTAATATATAATAATTAATGTATGTCATGTAAATTTGTGATTCACATTAAATAATTTTAATCTTTATCTTTAAAACTCAGCTGAACTGTGCCTACTGAACGTGAAGCAATACCTTCCCTGAAATATTTAACAAATAAAAAACAATATAATATATTTGAAGTTCATTAATTTAAATCAACGACAACTCTTTCTTTCCTTAAACTTATAATAATTATTATCTAATAAATTAATAACTATATAATAGTATTATCAAAACTAAAACCTACTTTGTAATAACCAATAAAATTCTTACCAATCTCTTCTGGTAATGTCATGATCAACGACAGTACCCGGATTCGGATTAGAAAATTCTCTTCCAGCCTTCAAGAATATTCTAGTGTTGATCCTTTTTTGCACAACAATGTAGGTCAGCTTTGGTTTGTACGTTTCACCCAATAAGGAAAAACTAATCTGCATTTGGGGGATTTCATAGTCTTGAACCAGTTTTAATTGACCGTCACCAACTCCATCCCTATATAGAAAAAGAAAAAATATTACTCACTACTTAACCCAACACACGTTATTCTATACAAATTTCAATAAATATTTTTGTGATCTTTAAAAAACTTTGTGAGTTCATATAAAAACTAAACTTAAAAAAAGCACTTTCCCTTTATCCTAATTTACTGGGCAAATTTTTCAAGCTTTTTAAATAAAGCTATCTTTTCGGATTTTTACACGAATTTATTTTGATTTTTGGTTCCCGACGTTTCGAATGCTTTACAAGCTTTTACAAGCTTTTTCAAGGTTTTTTTCCTAAAAATCTTATTCAGACAATAACGAACAATTCAAAAAAAATTGCAGAATCGTTCTAGCTTTCATTTAAATGTATTTCATTTTTTTATAGAATATAATTCTTATTTGTCTAAGTAAATGCGAAAATTACCATACATCTTCCATTCGTGTAGATAAAGAACAGGATCAGAAATGGCGGCGTTAAATAAAATCTAAAACTAAATAGTATGTGATCCTACAAAAATATACCATTATAAAATTAGTATATATATGATTATTTTCAGTAATCACTATTATTTTCTAAAAAGAACTCAGTTATTTTTAATATTATTATTTGGTTCAGTTTTTAAATACTTTTAAATAAAACTATCTTTTCGGATTATTTCGCGGATTTATTTTGATTTTTGGTTCCCGACGTTTCGAATGCTTTGCAGCATCCATGGTCACGGGAGAGACTGAGGTGTTACATGTCTTGAAGGTATAGTTGTTACAGACAGCCTACCCACAAACTCACAAACTCACAAATTTTGGCTCAGTTTGTAGTGACTACTTGCTGTGCCAGCGGCCGCGGGTTCAGTCCCGCTGGGGGCATTCATTTGTGTGATCAGCACGAACGTTTGTACTCCAGTCATGGGTGTTTGTATTTATAATATGTATGTATTTAACATTTATATATGTGTAGTGTATCAACTATCTGGTATCCATAACACAAGCCTGGTAGCTTACCATGGAACTAGATGATGCTGTGTGTTAATGTACCAACATATTTACGACATACCTATATATGACAATACGTTCAGGCAAAGTTCCATTAGTCCTCAAATAGTGTTTGAGGGAATCTACGAGGCATGATTTGAGACTGTCCACGATTTCTTGGCCTCGCTCTTGGAAGACGGCCTTGGAGTACCAGTGAGTCATACTTTGGTTGTACGACGCGATGAATGCTGGAAAATATAATTTACCATTGTATATATTAAAAAAAAGACGAAATACGTTCTTAGACTTACGCGAATACTTGAAATTTTAAATAAAACTATCTTTTCGGGTTTTTCGCCGATTTATTTTGACGTCGAGAACGAAAAATCAATATAAATCCGCGAAAAAATCCGAAAATATAGTTTTATTTAAAATAAAACAAAATTTAATATAAATCAAGAAACGAATACCATCCCAATGTCACAATAAACTTTTGCAGAAAATACTTTTAAAGTTGATCGAAAACTTATTAAAATTATAAAACTTGTTGAAAAGGAATAACCATCACACTTAGAAGCGAATCAAATATACATTAATAATACTTTCTTAAATTTACGCGAATATTTGACATTTTAAATAAAACAGTCTCTTCAGATTTTTTTCACGGATTTATTCAGATTTTTGGTTCCCGACGTTTCCCGTGACAATAATCGCTGTAAAGCATTCGAAATATCGGGAACCAGAAATTAAATGAAATCCGCGAAAAAATCCCAAAAGATAGTTTTATCTATATTACTATTATAAAGAGGTATAATTTGTGAGTTTGTGAGGTTGTAGGGGGTAATCTCTGGACATACTGAGCCGATTTAGATGAAATTTAGTAAGAACATAGTTTGAGACCCTAGGAAGGACATATGATGAAAATGGGAAGAAAAAATTTGTATGGGGATTTAAAATATACATAAATAACAATTTAATTTAAAATATACATAATTTTAAAACCAAAGTGAGTGAGGTCGAAGGTAAAAGCTAGTAAATAATATAAATTATCATATATATTTACCACAAACGCTACGTTTCTTCCTGCTCGCATCGTGATAAGAATCGATGCCGACAACCATCGCAGTCTTCATCGGAATGCTTATACTCCACAGAGTGCCGCCGAGTTTACAATTAATTTGCAGTAATATCTTCTGTGTTATCGAACGTATCTTTTGATTGTTCATTAACGTTCGGGCGTTGATTACCTATTGATTGGAAAATTTATATTAAAATATACTAATATATAATCTATATTTATACATATAATAACAATGTCAGTTACATTATTATATTATGTATCCATCGTTGTCCGTACATGGAAGATATTTGAGAAAAACTATTATTGGGGGTCTTTATTAACATAATAGAACTCAAAACAATGATTTTTAGAACTTTTGTGTATATGTTAGTTTGTCCGAGCGTTCGTGCGCGCTAATCTCAGAAACTGCTTAACAGGTTTGGGTGCGGTTTTCACTAATGTATTGCGATAAGCTTTATATAACATTTAGTATTTTTTTATTTCAACCGGTTCAAAAATAAAGAAGTTGCCAAAACGATTATTGTACATATTTTTCTTTATATAAAACTAATAACCTGAGACGGCACTGGATTGTCAGCACAACAAATCTTCTTGATGGCAGCGTATCTGTCGTCCCTCATGGTGGGCGCGATGGCCACCACCAGCTGCAGCTGCGCCGTGACGCACTGCTTGAGCGCCAGCACGTAGGCGTCGGTGCGGTCGCTGGGCAGCCGCACCAGGTCCGGCTTGGACACGCACACGCCCATCGGACCGCAGCATCTCGTCATTGTGGCCACGAAATCCTGGAATTAATTAATTTATTACATTTTGGAACTTATAATAAAGTAAAATTTTTAGGCCGCGCGCGCACACCGACAGCCAAAAAGCGACATGATGAAGTTAGCTGCACTTCTTTTACAAACAGAGAGTTGTGACATATGGGATGAAATCTTTAGCTATTTTTGTTCTGTTACAAAGAAGTATGACTTCTTACGTGTGTACATAAGTACACGCACACGTTTTTTTATAGGGTTCCGTACCCGTAAGGGCGCTAACGGGGCCCTATTACTGAGCCTCCGCTGTCCGTCCGTCTGTCTGTCAGCGGATTGTACCTCATGAACCGTAATGCATAGATATGAGTTGAAACCAAGAACGTCTTCTTGGCTTTGTTATTTCAAAACAGCCGACATGGAAATTAAAAAAATGAGAACCTTTTCTTTTTTGAAGAAAAATAGTAAATAGTGTATCTTGTAGGTACTAAGAAGTACGAAACCTTTCGTGTGTGAGTCCGACTCGCACTTGACCGGGTTTTTTTTATTACTTTGTTGCTATAGAATATCACTTCGAACATTACTGGTCTATTATAATCACCCCATATAGAACTAGAGAGTAAAGTAACCAACTAAGCTCTGCCGGTGTAATATACTGAAAAATTTGCTTAGGTGTACTCCATAATTACATCTGGGGCTAGAAACTTCCCAGGATAAATATTACGCTCGTCCCACAGCTGGGCGCGGGCCTCCCTTCAGTACGAGGGGGATCAGGCCATAGTCCACCACGCTGGCCAAGTGCGGGTTGGCAGACTGAGCAGGTCTTTTTAAAAACTTACGAAATACTCTTAGACATGCAGGTTTCCTCACGATATTTTCCTTCACCGTAAAACAAATGGTAATCATGTTGAAAATGACTCGCACATGAAAATATCATGGGTCGAGACCCAGAACTTGAGCCGGTTTCACTCTGTTTCCCAAACGAGCGCGTTACCACTGGGCTACTACCTTTTCGATTAAATAATGTGGAATGTAATATTTTAATATTATCTACTTACTGCAGCCACCTGTTTATCTCTGTCGGTAAACAGAACAACCCATCTCAAGATATCCACAGCTTCCATGACTGCATTTTTTCCAATCTCCCCGTTCCAGTCAGCGTTGGGTTTTCCGGGAACTTTCACATTGTTACCAAAGTATAAGGGCTCCGGTGGTAATGTTCTGGCTGTTATGTTTACAGTTTCTGGCGCTATACTTAGACCCCAACCTTTAAGACGACTCTTGGCTTTTTCGTTGTTTAGCACGTTTTGAATGTACTGAAATAACATAAAAATTTATATACATATAATAATAATTAAGTACATATTGACATTGTAGCATAACTATAGTACCAACCTATATCATCAATCTATACTAATATTATAAAGAGGTAAAGTTTGTGAGTTTGTGACGTTGTATGGGGTAATCGCTGGATTTACTCAACCGATTTAGATGAAATTTGGTAAGAAAATAGTTTGAGACCCTGGGAAGGACATAGGATACTTTTATCCCGGAAATCATCTGTTAAGGGGTTGAAAATGGGGATGAAAGTTTGTATTGCAAAAGCAAGCTAGGGACCAACTCGAGCGAAGCGAGGTTGAGTCGCTAGTAACATATACTTGTATGAAAATTGAGATTAATGCATGGTTTAAAACATCCTCAGTTACATTATATATGTATTGCTATGAAGTGCCATCCTTATTTTTTTATTTTTCATAATTCCATTACAAAATCATAATATTCAGATTATATGGACAGACAAACTTATGAAATGAATGCACCCGGCAACTTTTTAACGAAGTCATATGCATTGCCCCAAAGAGTTCTATTCGTGCCTTTAAGACTATGAAACCCTAAAAATAATGTAATCAAATTAAACAAGGCAAACCTTTTTAAAAGCAGCATGCCGTTGGTTAGGCGTGATCCGTGTATAAGTGGCCACATCCTTCATCAGTCTGAAGTTGCTCCGCTGGTCATCGCTGAGGCCGGTGAGCTGGCACAGCTCCGGCACGAGGCAGATCATGAAGTCTACAGGTTGTTCTGAGCCTGGCATGCGTTTTGTGTCCCTTGAATATATATATTTATTAGAATTATACAAACAACTAGCTACTCACATTCGCTTCGCTCGAGTTCGTCCCTAGTGAAAAACAAAAATCTATCACATGAGAACCGTACATTTTTCCGGGATAAAAAGTAACCTATGTGCTATTCCAGACTATAATCCGAATCTGTGATAAATTTCATCCAGATCCGTTCAGCCGTTCTGCCGTGATTGAGAAATAAACATCCACCCAAACTTTCGCATTTATCTATACTTATTATAAAAAGAAGTCCCCCGGCCGCGTCTTTCTGTCCTCCTGTCTGTCTGTACGCGATAAACTCGAAAACTACTGAACGGATTTTTATACGGTTTTCAACAATAGAAAGAGTAATTCTTGAGGAAGGTTTAGGTATATAATTTATTATGCTTTTATGTAAATTAGCTGAAATACGGCGACAAATGTTGAAGAGGTCGCAAAAAATCTCGCCAAATGGGAACTTTCCACGCGAACGCCGCGTAAACTAGCAAAGATACAGTTAAGTAATGTACTAGAGAATTCAAAATCTATAAAAATGCTACAAAAAAGTCCGCGATAGCATATCTCTATCTCTTACGGTTGACTTACAATAACCACTTTTATGTTAACATTTTTAATTAAAAACATTACGTTATTTTCAAAGTTATTTTCTTTAGTTCGGTATTAATCCTTATCCAAATGAATATTTTAGTTAGCTTAGTCATTTAATGCAGATTAAAATTGCTCTTTACACTAAATCAATCAGATGAATAGTTTTTGAGATATCGTTGTTAGAAGTAATTAGTAGCGAAACATTTTTAATGCTTGGCGAGCATTGAGATGCCTACGGCGAGTCCATCCCCTCTGCCCCGCATCGCTCGACCGCCTGCTCAAGCTATATAAACCGGGCGATGTAGCGCGCGATCCTAGGATACTTTTTACCGCGGGAAAATATCTTATTTCTGAGGAAAAATACAAAAACTGCAATGTAAGAGTATACTAATATGTAACACCTAAGAATTTAGTTTTTGGTCATCTGAACGCGGGCGGAGCCGCGGGCAATGCTAGTAATATTATAATGAGATTACAAATGAATTAAACATGTTTTAAAATATCTGTTTTACTTATGTTTGTTAGCATATTGAAGTTTAACAGAAGAATTTAATTTAATTATGACATAATTGATATAATCTGTGAAAATATTTAGTTTTTCAATACCTCTTCTATGAAAATAAATAAACTTCTATAAAATAAATGCTTTACAGCAATCATTGACCTGGATTCTAAATATCTCCATTCGAAACATCGGAAATCAAATTTCAAAATAAATCCGCGAAATAATCCGAAATGATAGTGTTATTTAAAATCTCAAATATTCGCGTAAATCGTGGATATTAAATAAATAAACTATTAAATGTAATATTATCGTACCTGGATATAAGCAACGGTTGGTCGGGGTCCATGATATCAATGCCATAATTCTTCTTATAATAGTCAATAAAGCTTATTTTCACCATTTGCCCTTTGTCATTCTTTTCAAATGTCGATCTTGGTGTCATTGTATCATCTATACTATCTACACTGTAAAAGATGAAAATATTTCGTAAAAACACGCACTAAAATTCATAAAAAATCACTTAATATTCATTTCACTATTTTCAATTCTTTTATAAATCAGTATCCTGATTAAATAAGGATAAAATGCAGGCAATTTCGCGGGAAATAATTAGTATCTGGTAAATACTAATGGCTTACCCTCACTTCGCTTAGGTGCGCATCCCTAGGAAAGTTTTAATTTTTTTGAGCGGAACCCTAATTCTTTTTCTAAAATAAAAGTAGCCTATGTTACTCCTCATAACATCAGCTATCACCAGCCAGTAAAAGTCCCGTCAAAATAAGTCCAGCCGTTTCCAAGATTAGCCGGAGCAGACAAATAGACAAAAAATTAAAAAATTGTCTTTGTCTTATATTTACTGTGTATACTTTCATATGCATTTAGTAAAAAGTTGTTTTGATATTACAAACATACACTTCAATTTTATTTATCTGTGTATAGATATATAGATAATAATGTAAATACCGAAACAGCTTCTTGTTATACGTAGTCATCACAGAACACCCGATCAGTATATCTGACATGGCCCTTTTCCATCCAGCACCTTCCCTGTGTATCGCATCTTTAATGACGGAGAGAACAGTTTGAGTTCTAAGCACTCGGTGAGTGGAATCAAGAGTCAACATGAGACCACCTTCAAATTCACTCACTGCTGTTACATATCTGAAGCAAATTAGTTGTTTTAAATAAATTGATCCAATTTTGGTAATCTTATTATTAAAACAAACATTCAATTCAATTCTTTCCATTATGTCTTTTCACCTGTTTGTTGAAAAAGCAAGGTTGGGCCATCATAGTAATTTTAGTATAATATGTTTGATTTAAATAAAAAAAAAAACGTGTGTGTGTAACTTATGTACGCACCTTAAAAGTTATACTTCTTTGGTGGAATAAAACAAAAATAGCTAAAGATTTCATCCCGTATGTTACAACCATGAACGAACTGTCTCTAATTCGTTAATGGTTACAACTCTCTGTTTGTAAAAGGAATGCAGCTAACTTCATCATGTCACTTTTTGGCTGTCGGTGTGCGCGCGCAGCGTAAAAATTTTACTCTCATATTTCTTTCCAAACGTGCCAAAAGAAGTATAACTTCAAAAATGCACAAGGATAATACACTAAAAGTGCACATAGCACAGATTTTACGGAAAGATATTTTATTATGGTAAATGATGAACAACTGGTCTAACAAATAACTTTACTAAAATCTCATCTCATTGTCAGTGCTTATTTGTCCAAACGACCAATTTAACAAAAGAGTTTTTAATACAGAATGATTGACTGTCCAATGTTAATTCACATGTAAATACAGTTGACTCGCGATAATTTGAATATTTTCCCTGTCCCTTGAAAAACACTTGATAAATTGAATAATAAAATCAATATTAATTGGTCTCCTCGACAATTTGAAGTTGAACGAATAGAATCATGCCCGCTAACATTCAAAAATTTGAAGTCCGAGCTTCTCTACTCTCTATAATTTTTTTTGAAGAAGCGTTTTTCATGCACAGACTTGTCGGTTGTTTACATGTCTAGCTGTGTGTGGTATATATATATACCACACACACACACACACACACACACACTATATATATATATATATATATATATATATATATATATATATATATATATGAGTGATTAATGAAATGAGATATGAGTGAGTTCGTAGTTCGCAATCTTGTCTTCTTTCAAACGTTAAAGTGGGTGGTTCTGTTAATGTTAATTTATGTTATTAATTTTTAAGTATCAAAATGAATTCAAGAAAGAACAAGTTTCCTTCCATAAGTGAAAAAAGCGTGTTTCAAGCTGTGGAGAATGGACAATTAAAAAATATGCCGCTAAATAAGTAGTTTGGCGTTTTACCATAGACTAATTGATTTCGAGATCTCTTACTATCCTACGCTTCTACGCCTTCAGAACCGACACAAGTGATGATTTCTTCTCAGCTCTAACCAGTATCAAAAATTCATTGGACAATGATATACCGATGTCACTGACTTAACAATAAATTACTATTAATGAACATTTGTGAATGTTTATGAATAAATGTTAAAAATAATAAATAACGAATTTTAATCAAACTCAGTTTATTTGATTTTTTCCTCCCCCCATCTTGGTTATTTAAACTGTTATTATTTTGAACTCTTGGTAATTTAAAATTTTTCTCTGGTCCCTTAATCTGACCTGATCCCAAATTATCGAGAGTCGACTGTATACATAACGAAGAGAAAATGTATTTTATCTATATAGTGTACATAAATCTTAGAAATAAAAGCTTAAGAGCGTTTTCCTCTATTTTAAAAACATTAAGACAGAGGAAAAAGCTCTCTACTGAAAAATACAACAAATACTGGTCGTTTCAACTAACAAGCACTGAATCGACGTTATATTTAACTATTTATTATTACAAACTTACCCCGGCCATACTTCCAGTTTATGTTGTGGGATTTGTATCGCTGCATGCTCATTGAAATGTTGTCTTCCAAACCTGACTAGTTCCAGATCATTCATAATATGCTTGAATAACATATTATAAATCTGTATCATTTCGCTTAGACGACGAGTACGACGAAGCAATATCTAGAAAGAAATAATATTTACGTTAAAAAAATATATTATCACTTCATTTATTTATTTACTTAGGTTGGGACATTAACACACAGCACTATCTAGTACCATAGTAAGCTACGATACCTGTGTTATCGGTAACAGGTAGTTGATACACTACACATATATAACTTTAAATACATACATATAATAAAATTGTAACTAAATCGTATCTGTACATTAAATATTTTTTGGAAAATCTTATTGAAATAGACATTATTATTGATACAGAGGCCGAATCTATAGTTTTTAGAATTTTTGTCTGTCTGTCTGTCTGTTACCGCATCACAGAAAAACCACTGGAGGGATTTTGACGAAATTTAGTATGGTCATAGCTGGTTATCCGGGTCAACATACAGGATACTTTTTATTGTAAGACATTTCAGAGAAAAAATACAAAAACTGGTTAGAATAAAACCACGACGATAGTACTCGTACATATATACACATTCAAATGAAATTTTTATTTTTCCAACGTATTGACTTATCCCTCAGTCACGCCTAAAGAAGTTTTTAGTTAACTTCAATATTACTAATATTATAAACATGAAAGTTTAGATGTATGGATGTTTGTTACTCAATCACGCCAGAACGGCTGAACGGATCTAGATGAAGTTTTGCATAGAGATAGATTATAGTCTGGAATAGCACAAAGGCTACTTTTTATACAGAAATAATGTCTGGTTCCCGAGGGATAGATTTGTTTTTGTTTTTCTAGAGGCGGACCCCAGCGAAGCGAGGGTGAGCCGATAGTATTATATACATACATATTATTATACTAGCGACTCACCCGCTCGCTCGGGTTCGTCCCTATGTATATATTTTTTTGAGCGGAACCCTAATTCTTTTACTGAAATAAAAGTAGCCTAAGTTACTCCTTATAATATCAACTACCTGCCAGTGAAAGTCCCGTCAAAATCAGCCCAACCGTTTCGGAGATTAGCCGAAACAAACAGACAGACAAAAAAATTAAAAATTGAGTTTGTCTTATATAATTTCCACATATAGTTTCGTATGCATTTAGTAAAACTCTGTTATTTTGACATTACAAATACGCTTCAATTTTATTTATCTGTATAGATGTATAGATTTGGTGAAACGGAGCAAATGAGCATACTTCGCTAGGCAATACATACACACATAATTTTTACATAGTATAAAATAAAGTCACTTCCGCTGTCTGTTCGCTTAGATCTTTTAAACTACGCAACGGATTTTAATGCAGTTTTTATTATTTTAATGCATATTATAATACAGAAAAGCCGAGAAATTCAAAAATTTGTATTTATATATATAGATAACTAACCGTTAAAACGTACCTAATACCTATAAAACAATTCTTAACTTATGTTTAATATAAAATACTTTTCATCCTGTAAGCAGATGAGTGAAAGACAACCTTCATTCGTATCTTAGACTACCAGCACTAGCTTGTAGTCTAAGATACGAATGAAGGTTGTAACTCTTAAAGAACGCTTGTACAACGTCCATGATGCTATTTAGATCTGAATTCTGTTATTTTGGCATTATTATTGACCACTGTGTAACAATTTGCAATTGTTTCAGAGTGACACAGTTATTAGAACTTCTAATATTTATCTTTACGAGACCAACTCATATAATATCAAGTATTCTAAACTTACGGTAAGATTAACTTTGGTTTGGTCATAGGGATTGGTGGATACAAGTTTGAGAGCTTCTTCTGGAAGTTGGTGTGGGACATACAATGTAGTGCCATCAAATGTCTTCTCTTTGAAAAGGTGATGATGCTCTGTAACATTATTTATTATGGTGAAGCAAATAAAATATAACAAAAACTTTCATCTAGCACAATAACAGCAAAGCATAATATTAAATATATGAATATTCAAAATTTCAACTTTCAGTAAATAATAATTAGAAATCTATATAAATAAAAGTGATTGTATGTTTTACTGCTTATAACATGTCCCATTATTCCCATCCTATTAATATTATAAGTGCAAAAATTTGGATGGATGTTTGTTACTCAATGACACTAGAACAGCTAAACGTATCTAGATGAAATTTGGCAGAGACAGCACATATTTTACTTTTTATCCAGTAAAAATATACGGATCCCGTAGGATAATTTGTTTTTGTATTTCACTAGGGATAAGCCCAAGTGAAGTGAGGGTGAGTCGCTAGTACATAATATGTTGCATTCACTATCATTGCATGAAACATTTGTGACTGCACATGTTTGACAGAGACACTACACCGTCTCATACCATGACCGTGCTAGGACCGTGTCAGGAAAAAAAATATTCTTTGTATTGAAAATTATGAGTCTCTGCCCACTAGACTGTTCCGTCACCTACCGGCGCGGCGCCGTCACGTGCCGTGCACGGAGCGGTAGCAATTGTCGACGAGAATATTTTGCCGGTGCCGGTACGCTCCGTGCCTGGCACGCGACATTGCGAGTGCCCACGGGTATGATACGCTGTTGATACGGTCTAGTGAGCATAGTAGTCCGTGCCATACTCGTCTCCGTGCCTGATACGTTCATAGCACGGTCATGGTATGAGACGGTTAAGGCAGACACCTTAAATCTAAATACAACAAATACAAAATATGTAATGTGATATAAAGTAGTCTCATGTGATGAGATGTAATAAAATGTTGACACAATGTGAGACGTTTTGTTAAAGCAATTACCATTTAAGAGCTTGAAGCGCAAATGCTTATGATCCTGATCAGGATCATATCTGACTTCATATTCAAACACATTGTTCTCTTCACAGTTGAGGCGAATGAAGTTACATGTGACTTCACATGGTGTTCCTGACTCCCCTTTCATAACTACGGGTGGTGTTTCTTTTACTTCTCTCTGTCAAAATATAATCGTATTATCTCTGTTCAAATGTTACAAAAAGTTATCGACCTCCAGTCCAATTGTAGGCAATACACTTTGTGTAAAATAAAATAGGACAACACAAATATTGAAAAGAAAGCAGTCATGAGTACTGCCGACTGAAGTGAAAACTTAAAACAAACAGTTGTTATTTTTGGATATTCAAATTAATTGTTTGATCTTAAATTATAAATTAAAACTGTTTACATTTGTCTGGTTTCGACACCTATTGGCACTCTGAGTGTTCAAACACATATCCAAACCTGCCTATCAGGGTTTGAAACGATAATTATCATTGATAATTATCTTTGATAATTATCACGATAATTATCATGATAAATCCATATTTACCCATGTTGATAATTATCTTTGATAAATATAATTGAAAATATTTAATTTGTAACTCTTCAAATTGTCGATCAGCTAACTGAAATCTCTCAACCAGCTCAACAAACTCAATAAGTAAATTGAGTTAATGCAGTTGAGGAGGATGAGGATGATATTCCACTCATTAAGGAGTCTGCCCACCATACCGTCTCATACCATGACCGTGCTATGAACGTATCAGGCACGGAAACAAACGACACGGATTACTATGCCCACTAGAACGTATCATTCGCGTATCAACCGCGTATCATCCGCGTGTCATATCCGTATAGTTCCCGTTTTCTCAGTCGTCTCACCTGTGTTTTCGCGTGAGGCAACCGCGTCAGGAAGAGCGAGTGAATATTTTTGTTACGAAAATTATTTCCAATACCTATACGATGGCTATTAGAAACTAGTCCGACAGAAAATTAACAATGATAGCCATTGTTTTAGACGAGGACGAAAGAGAAGAACATCAATCGATCATTACGTTACTAGGTGCACGCCGTTTTAAAAAAAATATAATATAAAAGAAAATATTATCACTAGAAGACAAGTGACAACACGTTTATAACGGTCTTAGAACGGTCTTCATACGCAGGTATATCCCGTGTGCTTACCGTTTCGCCGTCCGCGCGCACCAGTTCGGCAACATCGCGTGCCAGCCACGGAGCGTATCGGCATCGGCAAAATATTTTTGCCGACAATTATTGTTACCTTTCCATGCGCGGCACGCGACGGTGCTGGTCGGTGACGGAAAGGTCTTGGTCGGTGATGGAACGGTCTAGTGGGCATAGTCTCATACTTTTCAATACAAAAGATATTTTTTGCCTGACGGCCAGCTTAGCACAGTCATGGTATGAGACGATATAGTGGGCAGAGACCTTTAATTTAATTGAATATTGTCTATATAGTTGATTAAATTTATTCTGTTATTATTTCCAAGTTTGTATATGTCAAAATAATGAAATAATAATGAAGATTACCTTGATTGTTAAAAGGGTATAATTTCTTCTAGCGTAAATTATGATAGGCAAGTAATCAAATACCAATACCTAAATAAGGATTGCTAAGTTTATATCTGTTTGATAATTATCAGATAGTTATCTGATAATTATCTTGATAATTATCGCGATAATTATCAAAAGATATATTTATCTTGATAATTTCATACCCTGCTGCCTATACAAGTTTTCACTTCAAAAAATATACACTAACATTTATTAACATTTCTCTAAAATACTTTTACTTACAAAGTATTTATTTTTCCCTGCTGTACTTGATACTGCAGTAGATATAGTGCTGGCTGCCATTCTACTTGTAACATTATCCACATCACTCGCACTCACTTGACTAGGGGTAGATATCTTTTGTGTTGCTTTTCTAAAAAGATAATGAAACAAATAAGTCTTTTATTTTTTAACTAGCGACTCACCCTCGCTTCGCTCGGGATCATCCATAGCTTGCTTACCAATACAAACTTTTATCCCCATTTTTACACCCTTAAGAGATGATTTCCAGGACAAAAAGTATCCTATGTCCTTCCCAGGGTCTCAAACTATGTTCTTACTAAATTTCATTTAAATTGGTTCAATAGATTCAGAGATTACCCCCTACAACCTCACAAATTCACAAACTCACAAACTTTACCTCTTTATTTATAATATTAGTTTAGATAACTATTTGTATTACAAATATCTATATATATAAAAGAAAGTCGTGTTAGTTACTTCGCTTATAACTCAAGAACGGCTGAACCGATTTAGCTGAAAATTGGCAGGGAGGTAGTTTAGAGCCAGGAGAAGGACATAGGATACTTTTTATCCCGTTCGACCGCGTTCCAATTTTTATGATATTTTAATTTTTGGATTTCTCTTAGTCCGGAATAGGTAAGTATTAAAACATATAATTAAAATGTGAGAAAGAAAGATTTTTTCTTTTTATATCTATTTAAAACGTACCTAGCGACGAACCCGAGCGAAGCGAGGGTGAGCCGCTAGTTATATATAAAATTTAGTAACTATATTAACTATTAAATAATATTATTATTCTGAATACACGAATAGTAAGACAGTTATAGTAAAGTCAAAAAGTACTCTATGGACTAGCATGTTTGGTTCCAGATTATAGAATCCTGAAATCGAGTACCTGGTTTCACCAAAATTAATTTAATTATTCAATACAATTTTAATAGCAAACCAGGCATGACACTTTGTGGTGTTACACCTGCTTAGGAGATCACATAAAGACATTGTCACATTCATGAGCTGATCTCAGGTTCCATAGAATTATTGTCCTACGGACTTTGGGCAAGCAGGTGTCAAAGAAAACGGCTATACCATCAATACAAAAATTAACTTTTTGTAAGAGTTAGGCATTTACAAAGTTAGGCATTTAAAATATAACACACCCTATAACAATAGAGTTAAATGATAATTCTAAATTCCTTATTACTAATATAAAAATTGTAATTGGGTTTTTGGCATTCAGTGTTCACACAGCAACAGACTCATAGATTACTAACATAGAAATTGTGGATGGAGAATATACTAAATATTATATTTTTTTTATTGCAATACATCAAATAGTTTCTATTAATATTAATGTAAAAAAAATGTTCACATAAATTTTTTATGCTTTTAGAATTTACACCCTTATCATAGTACTCTATTTAATACCTTTAATATTAAAGTATCTATGGGGGACTTGTCCCTTATATATTGTAAAACAATTCACTTACAAGGTTTGCAAAAGCTGTAATCCTCTACCTCTGCCTAATGCTGGACCTGGACTCACATCGGATGCTGGACTAAATGTTGTTGTAGAACCTAAAATAAAAACACATCACACATAGAAAGAGAACAGTTATACACCATAAATTACTCTGCCAACACAAATGGACAGTTAAATAACAATATACCTAACTTTTAAATTATGAAACTAACCTCCTGGTTTCTCCATTTCTTGCATTTTTGCAAATAGCATGGCTGCTCTTCCTCTTCCCCCTAAGTTAGTACTAGGCATACTTAACTGAAAATTAAAATACAGTTTAAAATTAATAAGATATAAAAATATTTCATTTTAATTAGGTATGTTTTATTAGATGTAGCCATGCTTACAGTACTGGGAGCAACACTAGGGCTAGGAGTTGAATCAGATGAAGATGATTTTTCCATGTGAGATTTGAGAGCTTTGAGCAAGTCTAAGCCTCGACCACGACCCTTCCCTGGGTCTGCCATTGTCTTCTGTAATAATAAATATTAAATTATGTACTTTAAACTTTAAATCTTAATCATTACTACAAAAATCAGAAAACAAATTAAGCGTACATATAAAAATATGCCAAAAAAAGCGGTAAATTCACTTTCTATATTTGTGTAGGTACTTTGACTAACGAAGCAATATTGTTGTTGACCACGCTAAAAGACAGGTTCATTTATTATAACATATCTCAGATCGCCTTTTTTAAAGATTAAAATTCTTGAATATAGCTTTTATTTTAAATGTGCAATAAGTTACTTTTACCTTTATTATTATTTATTTGTTTTAATACAAAAATTGTCTCGTAGGTGCAAATTGCGACCCGCGCTGTGTACTCACTCGTCCGCCGGACCGCCACTCGCCACAGACTAGCAAGTAGCAACTAAAGATGTGTCAACTCGAGTTACTAACTCGAGTTAACTCGAGTTGGGCTTAACTCGAACTAACTCGAGAGATCAAGCGAGTACGCGATTGAAGCGCTCTCATTCTTAAGCAAGCGCGGCAATTCATTCGTTGTGTGCACGCTTTGTACAGTCGTCAGCACTTCAAAATACACATTTATGTTGCAAAATCGCTCCTATTACAACCGAATAAGATGCCACAGTGTTTAACTTAAATAGCTATCATCCGTAATCCCGCCATAGCATATCAACCGAATGACAGCGTTATAATATCCATACTAATATTATAAATATGAAAGTGTGTTTGATTGTTTGTACTTCTTTCACGTCAAAACGGAATAATGGATTGGGGTAATTTTTTGGATGAAGATAGAGGGCTGGAAAGTAGTATAGGCTACTTTTTACCGCGGAAGATTATCTCATTCCCATGGTAAAAAACGCTCTTCAATACAATTAAATAAATACATGTTTTAGCATTCTTCGAAATTTATCCCGTAAGGGGGATGAAAGTTTGTATGAAACCTACCTTTTTAGTGTTTTTTTTTGTAGTTTTAGCGCGAGCGAAGCTGCGGGTTCTGCTAGTAATAATATAAATAATTATAAATAATTTTAATTGTCCCAATAAATATTTATCACGAATCTGTACCATTTTTTATATTGTTGTGAAGCAAAGTCATTACATTGGTACAAACAAAACAAATCATTAGATTCATTTTTCATCCAGTTAACTCGAGTTACGTATCTCGAGTTCAATTCGAGTTAGGTGAATTTCAACTCGAGTTAAATCGAGTCATATTTTTTCCAAGTTGGTACATCACTAACACAGAACACTTTTAATCGGGAGAGCAACAAGTCAAGGACAAGGACTCGCGAGTCGCAACTAGCAATGCTCGATTATGAATGATTCTAGTCGAATTATTCGATTATATAAATCATTCGACACATTCGAAAGAATTTCGAAGTTTACTTGATACCTAGTTGCTACAGTAAACACTTGTTCGCTAAGTATTAGTTGTAGTGGTGTGAGGTGTGACTGATATATGAGTATGCGCTAAGAGATTAGTAATATTGAAGGATCTGTGAAATGTGTAATAGTAATCTGATAAACTCTGATGTGCAATTCGTTATTCGACTGAGACGCTGACAGAACGGCGACCGCTCTACTGCGCCAAAGCGAATTATCCATTCATTCGTATTACATTTTAAAGTCAAAAGTATTGACTGAGTCGCTGTCGCGACCAATTTAGTTCAAACACCGTTAGTAATTACTAATTAGTAGTAATATTCGATTATTAACATTAGTATATTACTAATATCCAAGTCGAATGTGTAAATTAGTGAATAGTAGATGATTTGAATCGTCGGATCATTCGCAGACTCGCATCTCTAGTCGCGACAAAACCGTGCGCTACAGATAACAAATTACAAAAAGTTGTAATCATGGATGACAAATAAAAGTTGTAATATTAATAGAAACTTCACAGTTCATCTACTGTCAGATTACAGAATAGATAATGAATTATCAACTCGATGTAATATCATTCGTGTCATTCGTGTCTTCCTCACAAAACTTGACACTGGCAGAATATATTACGTCTGTTAACGCAACTATATACCAATAAAGAAAAAAAAATTATGTCCTGTTGAGTTATACTTAAATGGGATGATGAAATGTTGTTATGGAATATGATATTTCAGTCTTTAATTGCACATGACCTTGATGCAACTTACATGCTTATTTCAATTTGGGGAAGGAAACACTTATTTCAAGCTCTTCCCATTCCTTTTATTTATTCCGTTCTCCTATTAAAATAATTATGTAAAATGCCCCCAGATCATGTACAGCTTAAGAGTGAAAGATATTTATGTACTTATTATTATTATTTCTATCTCTTTGGAATTCACGGGCTCGAAGAAGCCCGGTCCTTTGGTAGGCTTGCGTGGGGACACAGGTCCAATACGTAGACCTGCCCTTTAAGAGATCCAAGTTTGTTTAATGTGACGCATCAGCCGGGATAATTCTCTTAGTAAACCATAGGGAATTGCCCAAAGGTCACCTCCGGATAATGCGTGTATAGAGATTATGGAAATATGGAAAACTAAATAGAGTTCAGCTAAAAACTGGGCTATTGGATGAGACTACCGGACGTCCACCTGCTCAACAGTCTCACATTGAATATTTGGCGGACAGTGACTCGCCTCCCACTAGATGGACAAAGCGGCATAGGGCCTTGGGTGCACCCCCCCAACGTGCGTTCACCTTGTCGTGGTGGGGGGGCTCAGTAGTGCCCGGCAATACAGCCGGGCGCGAAGCCAAGAAACGCACAGGGAGGTGGCCCACTTCGGTGGGCGGTGGGAGGCGGCCCTCTTCGGAGGGCGGTGTACCATGCGGGTTGCTCCTGGTACTTTTCTAATAGCAGAGTGGACCTTGGAGCAACCCCGTGGTTGTTGTGGTCTGCTTAGGCAGATCTGCCGTCGGGGCGTCGTAGTTGAATGCGTAAGCGATCCTGCGACGCCCCATTAAGACGGGGGAAGGTTTTGTTGGGTTTTAGTGGGTAGTACTGGCTTCGCCGGTGAGTCCCAGACTTCTTGCGTAAATGCATTTCCCAACGTTAAAAAAAAAGGGCCTTGGGTGCAACATCGGTGTGGTCGTCTAAGGGTGTTGAGACGTGTGCAGTGTGCACCGGCAGTTCAGCATCGCGAGAGTGCTCTTGACTGGGTTTCTCCGTTATTACGCGCAGGGCCGGATTAACCCTATCAGGGCCCCTAGGCAATGTAATTCTCGGGGTACCATGCGTTAAGCCTTTTCTGACTTTTTAAAATACATTTTTTCTATTACAAAAGTCGAGTCGATCAGATCGACTCCTTTAGTATCCTGTTACTTCAATCTCTTATGTGATACTAGCGGCTCACTGTCGCTTTGCTCGGGTTCGCCTCTAGAAAAACAATACAAATCTATCCTTCGGGAACCGTATATTTTTCCGGGCTAAAAAGTAGCCTATGTATTATTCCAGGCTATAATCTATTTCTGTGCCTTTCATCCAGATCCGTTCAGCCGTTCTGACATGAACGAGTAACAAACATCCATACATCCATACTCACAAACTTTCACATTCATAATATTATTATAGATTGCAACAACATGGTTACCTTCACTTGATGCTACAATAAAATACAATAAACGAAAAAAAAAAGTTTTATAAAGATTTAGATATGATAAGTTTAAATAGCAACTCTTCTTACTCTTTTAGATACAAAATCGTTTAAAACATCTTGAAAGTTGACCTTTTCCAATATATCATCTAACGAATCGGGGATTCCTCGCCCAACGTGAATAAAGTCTCTCATCAGCCGAACGCGCACCGGCTGCGTTCAGAATTATCGCTTACCTTACCTATATCATACTTTCTTAGATTTACGCGAATATTTAACATTTTAAATAAAACTATCTTTTCGGATTATTTCGCTGATTTATTTTGATTCTTGGTTCCCGATGTTTCGAATGCTTTACAGCAATCATGGCCACGGAAAGACTAAGGCTTTAGATATTCAAAGGCGTTATATTATATATTTATTTAATTTTAGCTATTATTATTATACCTAAATATTACAATTTTCTAAAAAACTTTATATTATTTAGTGTTTCTATAATTATAGTATCATGTATAACCACAAAAAGAAAAAAAAATTAAAAGTGTTAATTATTTATTTAAGTACTAGCATTGCCCGCGGCTCCGCCCGCGTTTAGATTACCAAAAACCAAATTCTTAGGTTTTACGTATTAGTATACTCTTGCAATGCAGTTTTTGTATTTTTTCTCAGAAATAAGATATTTTCCTGCGGTAAAAAGTATCCTATATGTTGACCCGGATAACCAGTTATTACCATACCAAATTTCATGAAAATCCCTCCAGTGGTTTTTCCGTGATGCGGTAACACAGACAGACAGACAGACAGACAGGCAGACAAAAATTCTAAAAACTATAGATTCGCCTCTATATTGATAATAATGTCTATTTCAATAAGATTTTCTAAAAAATTTTTAATGTACAGATTCGGCTTAGTTACAATTTTATTATATGTATAGATAATTTGTAGTTTACAAAGTAAAAATTATCAATTTCTCTAATTTTATAAATTTTAAGGGTGTTTTACAAGACGACCATACAATGTTTTTATATTTTCAATAAGTAGAGTTCAGGATGAAAAGAATGAGCCCTATCCGAAAATGGAACGAACTTTTTTTAAATGTAAACGCCCACTTGAGGTTGGAGGTGATTTTCAGCCTCTCGAGACCATAAAACTACTGTTATATTGTTAACTGACACGCCGGTGTGTCCGTGGTCGTGAAGGGATTAAAAATATATTTAAAAAATTAAGTTGATATTTCTAAAATTTAGTCATAGTTTTGTTAAAATATTATAAAAAATATCATATAAAATATTTTTATATATTTCCAAAAAGTAGAATTCAAGACGAAAGGACCTCTTGAGACCATAAAACATACTTTTCTCAGAAATGGCTAAACATTTCAATTTCATTTTTTTATTTATTATATGTATTTCGAAGATTACATTCCCTTAGTTTAATGAAAACCAAAAGTTAATTCTAGAAATTAAAAGTAAAAAAACCCAACAAGTTTACACTACGCGAACAAGATTTTCAAAATGAGTTGGATTATTTATTTGATATTGCACATGCCAATGTATTAAATAAAATTAAAACATAAAAGGATAGATTATTTTTACAACAGAGAGAACCAGGATGTCCGGAATGTTTGGCTGGTATAGATAAAAACTTAGAACCAACTTAGAATGTAAAAAAAGTTTGATCTTTGAAAAACATATATTGCATCTAAACAAGACATATCAAACACTCTATGGTAAGATGTTGTTGCAGTTACGTGTTTTTTATGTACTTTATTAAAAAATACTTATTTTATTTATGATTTCAGGCAGATCCTTAGACCCCCCCAACGTGCGTTCACCTTGTTGTGGTGGGGGGGCTCAGTAGTGCCCGGCAACCCAACCGGGCGCGAAGACAAGAAACGCACAGGGAGGTTGCCCACTTCGGTGGGCGGTGGGAGGTGGCCCTCTTCGGAGGGCAGTGTACCATGCGGGTTGCTCCTGGTACTTCTCTGATAGCAGAGTGGACCTTGGAGCAACCCCGTGGTTGTTGTGGTCTGCTTCAGCAGACCTGCCGTCGGGGCGTCGTAGTTGAATGCGTAAGCGATCCTGCGACGCCCCATTAAGACGGGGGAAGGCTTTGTTGGGTTTTAGTGGGTAGTACTGGCTTTGCCGGTGAGTCCCACACCTCGTGCGTAAATGCATTTCCCAACGTTTAAAAAAAAAAAAAAAAGGCAGATCCTTAGAAGACTTTGTGTCAAATACGTTAATAATTAACTTATTTTCACGCCTAGATTGAAGTTTCTTGCAGATTAAGGGTTCTTTGTGGAAAGGAAATGGAGTCTATATGAAAGCCAAAAGTCATGCTGTATCTCTAAAAGCAGTATATAAACATAGCAGAGAGACCAGTGAAGTTAATGCAAGGCTTTCACAGTTTGATAACCACCAATGAAGAACAGAAACAATTTTTTTGTGTTGTGTGCAGTATTATAAAAAAAACCACTGTAAAAAGGAAATATGGGAAATTATAGTTTTGAATTTTTTATTTATGATTACTAATTAAAATTATTGCTTTTGTTTCTATCAATCATTTCTCTAATTTCGTTGATTTTTTGTTATTAAACTCCATATTTTACAAGTAAATTTCAAAACAAAACTGAAGTGAAGTCAACACAGGATATAATGTTTTTAAAAACTTGAAATTTTATTTATTAGTATATTTTAGGAATACTAACATATTTAAGGGGTATGTACTATGTATTTAAAAAAATCATATAATATATGTTTATTTTTTACAAACACATAAGTTATTTAAATAGCTGTATTAAATAACATCCTTAATCGTGCTCTAGGTATTAAAAACGTTGTTAAGAATAAAAATAATATTTTTTTATGTAAATATTTTACTTAACTGCATTTTATTAAATATGTAATATGTATTTTTTATACTCAAATATTGACTAAGAATTGTATTTCACTCCTTTGTTTCTTTGGTTTTCAACTTCTCAAATTCCTTAAATACTTTTTCACTTAGCTTGTCGCCATCATCATCAATTTGCTCAACTGCTAACACTTCTGGAATATAAAACTGCATCATATTTTGAACCTGCAAAGCAAATTAAAATTAAGATACTATATCTACAAGAACTAATTAACCATTATAATAAATTAAAACAGTAAAATATAAAGTAATAATGTAAAAAGAAAAAAAAATATCTATATTGATAATTAAGAATAATGTTTGATACAATTTTAACTTTAAAAAACATGGTTTGATTGTACCCAATTTGTATTTATGTGTATGGGTATTTCACCCAACACTATCCCTAATTATGGTTCCATTTTCAAAAGTCCAGTCTTTAATAAATAATTTATACTTGAGGTTCGGCCCCATATAAATAAAAAAAAAACAATTCAACCCCATTAACTTTAAGTAACAAATTTAATGTACCTTTTTTGCATAAAAGTAATTGCAATATTTGATTCTTAGTGAAATATTGTTATAAGTAAAGCTCATTTAAAACTAAACCTTTAGAGTTGCAGGTTGATAATACATATTATATTGTTAAGTTGGCTTGATGATTTATTTTGTAAAAACTTACACCATTCTTTAAAGTTACAATAGAACTTGGACATGAAGAACAAGAGCCTTGCATTTTAAGTCTTAGCACTCCATCCTTAAAATCAACAAATAAAACATCTCCACCATCTTCTTGTACTGTTGGCCTTATGCGAGTATCAAGTAATTCTTTTATCATTTGCACTATTTCATCATCGTCTTCGTTAATTTCTACAAAAAAATGTCAGTAAATTAACCTTTTAACATTTATAACTTATTGTTTTGAGAGTAAATTATAATAAATTAGTATTTATACATATTATTAAAAAAAAAGAATCTAATTTGAGTCACGAATTTGTGATTTAGGTTTTTCATATCTTTCTGTTAAATCCAACTGCAAGAATATAATATATTTCTATTTCTAGTATGTATGTGTATATCTATACATATAATAAAATTGTAACTAAGCCGAATCTGTACATTAGATATTTTTTGGGAAATCTTATTGAAATAGACATTATTATCGATACAGAGGCCAAGTCTATAGTTTTTAGAATTTTTGTCTGTCTGTCTGTAACCGCATTATAGAAAAACCCTGGAGGGATTTTGATAAAATTTGGTATAGTGATAGCTGGTTATCCGGGTCAATATATAGGATACTTTTTGCTGCGGGAAAATATCTCATTTCTGAAAAAAAATACAAAAACTGCAATGTACAAGTATACTAATATGTAAAACCTAGGAATTTGGTTTTGGGTCATCTGAACACACTTGACACAAAAAAAAGAATTTCTATTTGGTACATTCAGTCAAAATATGACATGACAAACAGTACTGTGTATATATATTTTGAACAATACTTACGTGTATCACCAGAAGGCTTAGCGTCTGTTACGATTGGAAGACCACTGGCAAAGAAGTCCATTATAGTAGCAAAGACGTCAGGCTTCAAAATCTTCCAATCAACATCATCATCTTGTTTTGTCACTGTTATAAATTCTGAACCAAAAAAGACTGCTTTCACTCCTTCAATGCGAAATATCATTTTTGCTGAAATTATAAGGATGTTTTTATAAGAGCAATAAGCTTGAGAATTTTATTTAACAGTATAACAAAATCTGTGATACCTAAAGGACTGCAATGTGCAGCTCCTATGTTTGGAAAATCCAGCGTCTGTCCAGACTCCAAAACCTTACAACCGGGTAAAAATTTCAAACTATTTGGATTCGGCGTCTCTTGCGTTTGGATAAACATGGTTCGACTATTCCAAGTATTTATTAAAATCTTTTTATATTGCCTTGGTAACGCATTAGTACCTTGTGACAGTCCGCTAAAGAGTTTAATATCAGTGAACCTGAAAAAACCAAGCTAATATAAACACTTAAATTAATTAGGTATTATTATTTATTACACACTAGCGGCTCACCCTCGCTTCGCTCGGGTTCGTCGCTAGGTACGTTTTAAATAGATATAAAAAGAAAAAATCTTTCTTTCTCACATTTTAATTATATGTTTTAATACTTACCTATTCCGGACTAAGAGAAATCCAAAAATTAAAATATCATAAAAATTGGAACGCGGTCGAACGGGATAAAAAGTATCCTATGTCCTTCTCCTGGCTCTAAACTACCTCCCTGCCAATTTTCAGCTAAATCGGTTCAGCCGTTCTTGAGTTATAAGCGAAGTAACTAACACGACTTTCTTTTATATATATAGATTATATTACTTTAGGTTTTGAACTTAAAACTTACAAATAAGCTGCACCGCACAGGCGGTTGCATTGATTTCCTGTTCGTAAGATTCTTAATGAGTTTCTTAGCATTTTTACAATCTTATAAGACTATTTTGATTTAAAGCAAACAATTCAAACGTTAAAGTAATGTACGACGTATAATGTTTTTCTTGCGTAAATTTTCATGAAAATATTTCAAATGAAAATAACATATATTTTTTTTGTGTATGTCTAATTTTTAATGGCTTGGATTCTGGTCTTTATCATTTTATTCATCTATGGCTTCTAGCCTTTTGAATCTTCGCTTCGAATTTCGATTTTTTGAATATAGAGGATTATTCGTTCCTGAAAGATTTTGCCTGGGCAAAATATTGTTTGTTAAAAATAATTCTTAAAGACATGTTCGTCGCTCGAAGTTTTGTAATTGTGCTAAACTATAGACGAACTAAACTAAACCATAGACGCAGAGGATTAGGAATGAACTGAGCATTGATACTCTCATGAAATTAAGCACTCTTTAAGGAAAGAGAAAGCGAACGTGTTGTCAATAGGCAATACCCGTCTTTTATTCCAATTTGAATTAATAAATGGACTGTAAAGAAATTATATTATTATATATTTTAAAATTTGGAAAAAAAATTGAGTATAATTTTTAGGATGCGCGTGCACACCAACAGCCGAAAAGCGACATGATGAAGTTAACTGTTCAGTGTACCTATTCCTTTTACAAACAGTTGATTGATCTTTGTGGATCATAGAGAGTTATGTTTTGATATTGTAGTTGGAAGTCGATTGTCGGTGATTGTGAACCCGCTGGCTCTAAATCATTAGAATTACCGTTTCCAGTTTATAACATTGTGATTTTCTGGATTAAATTATGTAATGAGCATTGAATATTATTTTTAAATGTAAATAGTTGAAATATATAATATTTTATTGTTTTAATTTACAAATTTTAATTTAAGATGAAAAAATTAATTTGATATCCAAAAATAACAACTGTTTTTGTATGTTTTAAGTTTTTACTTCTGTCGGCAGTCCTCATGACTGCTTTTATTACTTTAGTAAGACGTTTACTAATCTCACTATATTAAATAATTTGTATAACAATTAACATGTTTTTATTATCCTGTTATACCATAATCGATTCGACTCAGTTATCGATATTGATAAATGAGTCTCGTCCATCACTAGTGAGTTGTCACTAATATTGTTAACTTTGACATGTGTTTCAAGGATCCAATGAAAAATAGCCGACCTCCCCCTGCACCCCGCCACGTTTTGGTGATTTTGTTTTCGTACTAAAATGAATGAAAGCAGAGTCTTTTGGTTGTAATGTCTGTGACTAAGAAGTATAACTTCTTTCTATATAGTTTGTGATAACCATGGATAAAAAATAAAGATGATATTTTCTTACGTGAGTACATAAGTACACACGTTTTTTTTGTATATTTGGTACGTATGAGAATAGGTCGTAAAGTATTTTTCACCTTCTTACGCCCATTCCCCATTTATTAATCGCGATTTTAGTATTTTTGTATGAATAATAAACAAATAAAACTATCTTTTCGGATTATTTCGCGGATTTATTTTAATTTTTGGTTCCCGACGCGTGACGTTTCGAATGCTTTACAGCAAGCATGGTCACGGGAGAGACTAATGTTATAGACGTTTCAAAGGTGTTATATACTTGTTACAGATAGTGCCTACCCACTATTTTACAAAAATGATTTCAAAAAATTCAAAAATGGCACCAAAGTACCTTACAATATTTGTTGATTTGTATTTCTAAACATTAAAAAAAATTTATAAGTATTATAATTAAATATAGCAATATTATTTATTTAATTTTAGCTGTTACTAGTATAAATTTATTCGATTTTTTTTATTTAACTAAAAAAATATAAAAAAATTGTAAGAAATTTATGAGATATTCTCTCTATCGCTTGTTCCGCGCTCTCACTTACACGCTCGGCTCAGGCGGATGTGACACTTATTCGTGCGTACAGCCGCAGTTCATCAATTTTTAAGACGTTATCTCGTCGAAAACAAAGCTAATATGAGACTAAAGGACGTCCGCATCAAAGTCGTAGATCAAATATCGTAATCTCTCGAACTCGACTTTCCTCCCACAAGATGGGCTCCACAAAGCAGAAAGTGTCTCGGACATTATTATTGCATAGTGTTGGTTAGAATAAAATAAAATAAATCGTATCAATCGTATATTATTATTATAAAAAAGATTACAATGGAAACTAAAATAAGTATTGTAAGAAATAATTACATCTATTGAAATAGGTGCTCGTATACGAAATTATGCATGTATAAGAGGAATGGATGACTTATAACTAAATTATGATTACTGTACAATTATTATATACTACGCTACGTAATTCATTAAAGTAAAATGAAAATGTATTTTGACAACCTTAAAGGTACATTACAATTTACAAGTGCCAAGTACCTACAAGGATCATATTTGGCACGTGGCCGAAATCAGAACTAACACCGCCATTTAGTAAAGCGTTTTGTAAAACTTTTGAGAAAAGTTGGAGTAGATGTTCGTTGTGGATATTTGGTGGTTTTATTTCAACAAAATATCTCAAAATATAAAATGGTGTTAGAGAGGTTACGATGTTTTTTTTTATAAAAGAAAACCGTAATTTCACCCCCATGCCTTCGTCAATGTCGCCTAAGTGCCAAATTATCCTTGTAGCACTGTACATTTGTTAGGAATGGTTTGTTTTCAATATTTCGTACTTATGTCACACTATATATTACAATTAATATAGTTATTAATTTTAAATGAAATTAAATAATAATTTACAAAAACAGATGGCAGTGTCATCATCTATACATAAAATACTTAAAATTCTGAGTCAATCTGTACGTTAATTTTTTTTGGAAAGTCTTATAAAAATTGTCATTTTTATCGATACAAAGATCGAATATAGTTTTTAGAATATTTGTCTGTCTGTCTGTGAACACATGTCGAGAAAACCACTGGACAGATTTTGATGAAATTTGGTATGATGATAGCTGGTTATCCGGGTACTTTTTATTGCGGGAAAATACCTCATCTCTGAGAAATCTATACTAAACGTTAATAAATGTATAACTTTTAAAGTTACTTTTTAGAATTCGATATAGTGAAGTCATCGAGATCTCATTATTTCATAATGTCATATAATTAAATCAATTTCCAAGAGTCTATGGAAATTAATTACGATTAATGATAATTAACGAACCATATAAGATAATAGATATACAAGTTGATTAAAGACTAAGACTTAATATAAATATTTATTTAATAGCTCTCAATTAACTAATACTAGATCAATGATAGGTCAACATTATATTCGAGAAAATTTTAAAGTTCTATTTAACTTGAGTAGTTGAATATTTTATGTACTATTAGTTATAGTAAGCTACTACAAACTTTCATTTGACTACACAACTTTAAATTACATAATTTTATTGCCTATAACACTTTGTTTTTTAAAAAGATTGTTTTCTTTTTTTTGAGTTTTAATATCATTACTATATAATATATATATATATATATATATATATATATATATATATATATATATATATATATATATATATATGTTTAAAATGTTGTAAAAAGTTTTTAATTTAGATCAATATTCAAACTATTAAGACATTGTTTCATTGGTAGTTAATTTTGTATTCAATATTGTACAAGTAGTTAGTACAAATTAACTCCCATCATTTATTATCATCTATTATCAAAGTCACAAAAAATATTAATAAAAATAAATTATTGGTGTGAAATATCACTTTTTGCACAATTGAAACAAATGCATCAGATCTCATCCTACCATAATTTAACTGGCAGCACTAATCAGCTGTCACATGTGTCATCATTAGTCATTACTCATTTTAAGATTATAGAATATAGGTCATTTTATGATTGATATTTGATACATTTTATTGGCTAGAAAACATTAATAAGCCAACACGGCGCTCCTAGAAGCCACTAAACAAATTGAATTGCATATGAGTAGTTCCTATTTTTTAATCTATTTTTATGGTTTACATCGACAAACACAGCACGACGGGAACAAAAACCAGTCCATGAAAATGCCTGCACAGTCGTCATTCGGGTCAAAGGCCAAGAGTCGATGCCACTTGTACTTCTGTTCACACCCGCAGTCCCCTGAGCATCTTGACGTAGATTGTTTACTGAAAATGAAAAGAAAATCGATATCAATTAAAATAAAATACTATTCGTTGGTAAGCGCATCACTAGAGTACGGCTGATTTTCAATCGACTTTTACCGATATGATGTTTTTTTATTAAAAAAATATTCATATTGGTAAATAAGTATTTTAGAAAAGTTAACATGGAAATTAGGAAATATAAAAAAAATATTTATGTAGGTACTTTATGCTATAGGAATATTGAATAAATTAAAATATAACAAGCTTTATTTTCGTTCAGCTTAACGTCTGTCGGGTCATCTATAAGACTATTAATACATAATAATGATACATTTGTTGTTAGCTAGTTTAATTAATTTATTAATTAAACTTTCGCATCGAAAATTATATATTTATATAATCATCTAATATTATTCCGTATAACATTAATAGTTTCGCATATGAATAATACGCTAAAATGGCGATGAAGATTAGATACGTGCACGCAGCTTAGTTTACAATAGGTACCTATATCTTATAAACTTTAAGTTCCTGTCGAGTAACAAAAAGCAACTGGTTCATATTTTAAGTAAATTAATTTAAGCCGGTTTCAAGAGAAAGTAAAGTTCAAATGAATACACTTATAATGCAAGAGGAAAGTAAAAAAACCCCGCTATAGTTCAAGGTTCATACTTTTTAGTGTCAAAATTCATTATTTCATCACTCTAAATTGCCTGTTATAGATACATTAAAATCAACTTTTATACACATGTATATATAGAAAATCATATTATGTATATGTATGTATTGTAGTAATATTTATATACCAACTAGCAGAACCCGCGGCTTCGCTCGCGCTAAAACTACAAAAAAAAAACTGAAAAGGATGTTTCATACAAAATTTCATCCTCTATTTTACCCCCCCTTATAGGATGAATTTCGAAAAATGCTAAAACACGTATTTATTTAATTTTATTGAAGAGCATTAATACCAAGTTTCAAGTAGGTAATTGTGATAAAAAATATTTTTTTTGGATTGTATTATAAAGTGTTTTCCCGTGGGAATTAGGTAAACTCCCGGGGTAAAAAGTCGGCTATGTCACTCTCCAGCCCTCCAACTATCACCACACAAAAAATCACCCCAATCCGTCACTCCGTTTCGACGTGAAAGAAGGACAAACAAACAAATAAACAAACACGCTTTCACATTTATAATATTAGTATGGATTTAATATTAAAATTAAAAGTAGGTATGTATTTTTCTAAATTTGCGCTAGTACATATTTAAGTCATAGAGTTGTAGGTCAAAATTTTAATTTTCAAGTGAGTAATAACTAATAATATATCAACAAGAACCACATATAAAAGAATCCGCTAAAACAAAATGAAACAAGCGTATTTTTCCCTTAATTTTGCCGCTGTATGTAGTTCATAGCTTCGTAGAAAAGGTAGATACTGTTATTTCACAACCACTACTCATTTTTATATTATTGAACGATTTCTTTATATGTATATTTAACAAAGAACTCAATATAAGATTCTTAAAGCTCAATACATTTTTAAGGCAGTGGTAGCCCAGTGGTAACACGTTTGCTTGAGAAACCGAATGAATCGGGTTCAAATCCCAGGTCTCGCATGTCTGATATTTTCGTGTGCGAATCATTTCTAACAAGATTTCCACTTCTCTTAACGGTGAAGGAAAACATCGTGAGGAAATCTGCGTGTCAGAGAGAACTTAGATTTTTTTTCGAAAGACATGTGCAGCCCGCCAATCCGAACTTGGTCAGCCTATGGCCAGGACTATGGCCTGATCCCCCTCGTACTGAAGGGAGGCCCACCCCCAGCAGTGGGACGTTAAATACATACATACAAAACTCAACGCAGATTATTATTTATTAGGTAAACAATGAAAGGACCACATGAGCCAGGCATTCTTCCTACGTCAATTTAAAAACATTAAAAACGTTAACCTCAATATTGGTATCACTGAATTATACAATGTTTATATAATTTTATTAAAAAGACATAACATAAATATTTATTTGTTTTGTTTTTTTTTATTGATGACATAAACGCAGAAGATGAGTAGGCACGTTTAATTATCATGGAAAGACATTTGATTAGGCTATAAATCTATTTTTTTACCTAATTTACTAATATGGCTTTCATCAGCACAAAAGAACAAATAACACACACATTTAGTATAACCATTTATGTTAAATTTTAAAGTGCAGGTTATAAATATTGATATATTAAAATATTATGTGATTATGTTCAAAGATGCCTTACCTTATTTGGCTTCATAAATTTCCAGCGATTGTGAGCGTTTTTTTGCGAAACAGCTTGTTTATTTAGTTTATTTAAATATATTATTTATTTAAATTTGCATGATTATTAATTAATTAATATTTTGAGTCTAAATAAAAATGTTCAAAGCAAGGCAATATATTATTATAATTATCTTAAGTTATGGATAATTTCCCTTGCCGAAGTAAAATATTGATATTTCACATCTTTTTAATGAAGCAAAAAGCCTAATTTTTGTGTTATTTTTTATTTTTTTAGGTAGAGACATTAAAATCCTTCTATTTAATACTGTTAATCCAGTCTTTTAGTGGAATAATTCAAAATATCACCGGCCAATCTCGAACGTGATTCCTCCATTCAACGTGACATTAGCGAAATAATTTGTGCTCGCATTAAAGCCATTAAATAAAGAAATTGAATAAAAGCAAAAGGCCAGTTCCAGAAAAAAATTTTTAGTGTAAATAAACAACCACTGGATACTTTCTTAGATTTACGCGAATATTTGACATTTTAAATAAAACTATCTTTTCGGATTATTTCGCAGATTTATTTTGGATCGAGTTAAATGAATTCCAGGGCAGATCTCATCAAAACAGATTATAATTTAAAGATTACTTTCTTAATTAAATTTAAAATCTAAATACATAGCTATATTATACCGTTAGCCATAGCTATAACATTAGATAATTTTTTATCGCATCAAACAAGTTTAATTATTATCTAATTAATAATATTTTATATTAATAATAATAATAAATTTTTAAAAATCTACATTATATCGAAAATGTGCGTCAATCTAAAACTTAAATTGCTTACGTCCCATGGCGTCCCATTGCACTGATGGGCACTAACTTCTGATCAATTATTACGGTTTTATGAACTTCAAACGGCTTTGAAAACTACTTAAGTTCCCGGAACTCTCAAATATTCTTCTTATAATCTTGTGATCTTGTGTTTACCGAATTGGACGTAGTTATGCAAAATGGATCTAGCCCACGAAAACCGTTTTTTGAGTTACTGTCATAAATGACACCTACATATCAACTTACATACAGAAAGTATATGAAACATCCAAAATTTAAGAAGACTCAAAAAAATACTACGGTATTGTTATTTTTATATATCAATTTTACTAAAACGCCTATTTTCTGAAAAGTAAGTTTTTGTGGTTGGATCTATTTTGCATAACTACGTCCAATTAGCAAGAGATAATCACATTGAAAATCATTCGCACATGAAAATCACAAAAGTATGAATTGAAACTATTACTTGCTTTGGGTCTTTAAAGCATGCGTCATACCAATGGCTATCATACTGCCATCATAATAGAGAAGGTGCTAACTAACAATTTGGTCAAAAATGACTTAAATGCAGATTCGGAATCAGCAAAAAAAAAAGCTACTTGATAGTCTTACTCATAAAGCTCTATGTCTATGAATCCGGAGATACCATAACCATTTTCATATAATATAAACTACTACCAAGTACTAAGACAAAACTACAAATATCTCGTAATCGACTTTGGCGAATTTGCGGCCTACTTTTTTATGACGGCAACATAGTTTATATAATAAAAGATTTAAGTTTACCTGCACACTTCTTGATGTATAGCCTGTTCGAAGTGCATAGTATTGACTATAGCTCGCAATTTCCTCGCAGAGTTAAGCGCCCAATATGGCGTCATTATCTCCGTTTTACTCTCGCACGCGTCTATCCTGAAAGGTGTTATATGTCTATTTTAATGCATATAATATAATTTTTTACTTATTTTTTTTAATATTATAAACAAACATTTTATAATAGTTTTTTATTTAATAATATAGTCTAAATATCGGTAACGGATTTTTATGAAAATCCAATACCAATATTTTTTTTTTGTTATTTGCCTTTTAGGCGTGCCAGTTGGGCACAGATTACTTCGGCAATGTCATGTAGAATTTAAAAGACACGGTGTAGATAAATAGATAAAATAAATAAATCTTAATTACGAAACGTCATTTTCACTGATTCCAATGTCATCATAAGATTATGGCCAAATTAAGTCATTTAATAAATAATAATCAATATAAATTTATATGGTCTCGGATTTGATTTTTTTATAAAGTTTTAATCCATGTTTTAAACTAAGTAACTTCGTTCTATATAAGTGACGAAAGAGGTGCAGCATGACAAACTATTATATAGTAAGGTCTTGAGTTTTAAACAAATCGGGCTGATTAGTTGGCTTTTCACCGACCGTGTCGAATTTTCGTCCTATCCGATTTTGAGTGTGAAAGGAATAAAGACTGTAGTTACAGACACACACTTTTGTTAGTATATACCGCTTACAGTTCCAGAGGTACTCCTTTCGAGTCCCGGGTCGGGCCAAGTTCAATCACTAAGTTTTTCTATTAAGCTTAGATTATTTAATAATCTAAGCTATTAAGATATTCTCAGTAGTAGCTCGGAAATGAGGAAGTTGGCGATGTTGCAATCCCGTGCCTTGGAGAGCACGTAAAGCCGTCGCCTTAACTCTCACCTGTCATGACGAAGTATTGCCCCATCAGACTGAGAGTAAAAGGAATAGAGAGTGCCATTTTGTGTGCGCATATACTTGTGCACTATAATATCTCCTGGCTCCTGCGCATCGGCTAGTCTCGGTGAGATTGGCCGCCGTGGCCGAAATCTGTCAGATGGACATAATAAAAGCTGTAAACTAGTTAATTTTTCATACAGTAATACACTTACCTGCCAGTGTTATTGACAGATTGTGTGTCAGGCAAGGGTGGCTTCGTCTGACGAACATGTCTGAAGTACGAGTCCCCGCTATGCATGTCCGGCACGCCCGGCGCCCGTCTCACGCGACCCCCGCCAGGTATCGTGAACGAACCGTACATACGTTTTATTAACGCTTTGTTTTCATCTATAAATGTTTCTATTTTGTCTCTGTAAAATATATGATATTTAGTTAGTGATATTTTCTATTTTGTCACTGGAAAACAATGTTAAGTTTGACATGTTATATGCTGTTTGTTGGTAAGAGCGTCACATGAGAATAGAACAACTCAGAAGAGAAAGAAATAACTCAAATCAGGCTTCTAGGGAACAAAAATTCGGGAATACTATATGCGAACTTAAAGATCAAAAACAAAATTGAAATTTGGATAGCTATATCGTAATAAACATTCGATTATAAAATGAGAAACTAATTCTAGTCGCCGATATATCCAAATAAATAATTAAATCGATTCATTAACGATAATAATTATTGTGATGATTCAAAACTTTCTAGTATTATTCATGACTTAAACTTAATGTTATTTCTTAAAGCAACGTATAAGCCCACGGATGCAAATTAGAGAAACAATGAATACTTACAAAGGATAAGTGTTGCCGGCGGTCGGACAATAGAGTTGAAAGTTTCGTTTCACGCAAGGCACTCCTCTGATTATTTGACCTTGGATTTCGTAACCCAAGGCTAGAGACAGGGCAGTCCACAAGATCTATAAAAGAAACGATACATATAACAAAAAAGCATAACAAATTGTTTATCGTATTTGTCAAACACGATAATTATATTCTAAATGGATTAAGTCGATTTAAGGCCGTAATTGTAGCCATTGTTAAACGCCGGTTTTTTAATGTAATAAAAAATCATGGCAATTTTCAATAACAAACATAATATTTTCAACATTAACACAATGTCTTTTTATTACTCTCATTTATTTCATAGATTCGATATTATATACTTAGATCATGGATTGAATTTTGAAAATGAAAATCTCTTTCCTTCTTCTATTTTTAGATAAAAAATGTGAAAAGTACTAGCTCGTTTTTCATATTGCTTTTCATTTTGTAAAAAGATATGTTAGAGGACTTTTCTCTTCTTTAACCGACTTCCAAAAAGAAGGAGGTTCTATGTTCCTCTGTATGTTTTTTTAAATGTTCTCAGTATTGTATTTAAAGTAGATCCCGAGGTGGTCCCATAAAATTTTCTTTGAAATAGAGTATATCATTTTCGAGAAAATCGAGAAAAACCATGACGTTTTAAGTTTGTTTACATATTTAATTAATTTTTTTTACTTATAATTGTGATATCGACTTGAAACTTTACAAGTATTTGTAATTCCGATGATAGTATAGTAATTTGGTATCTTGGAGCTGATCTGATGGTGAGGCCATAAGAAAGTAAGTAGTAAAAAATAACTGAACGGTGGTTTCATTTATTATAGATACCTAATCAGATATTATCGAAGTCGGTGCCAGCCGACGTAAAGCAAACCCAATCTATTTCGGTACGTACCTATAATATATGTCACAAATTGATGTATAATTAGAGTTCATTTTAACTATAATTAGAGTTCAAACCTTGTCATATTTACCTATTAGATATTCATAATATCTTAAAGCATTGTCGGTTGGCACCGACTTCTAAAATATCTAATAAGATATCAATAGTAATTGGAAAACTCCGTTTAGTTATTTTTTACTTTTTAGTGCCTGTAGTTCGGTTTTTTATAAGTTTTTATTCGTAGTATTTTATTAGTTGTGTTATTTTTATAAGTATGTATGTAAGTATGTACGTATATAATTTTATAGAAATTAAAGTGTTTATTTGCAAAATGGCCAAACAGTTATTGTGTTTTTTGTTCTAGCAGTTATTATATTTTTAATGTTTGGTATAGGTACCCTTTAAACGTCACGGGTTTTAATAGAAGGTTATTATGAGGAGACGTAAAAAATAATCCCATAAACTTATAACCTTCATAGACAATTAAATCATTCTCAATTATTCTTCAGTACATTTTTATGAGAATTGTATTTTTTAAGAACCAGTTTATGGCGCTTGAGGTAGTACAAACTTCCGAATTACAATAACATTATTAGATAAAAATAGTAAAAAATAATGTAAATAAACATAAAGTACGCTCATATTTTTAAATTCTGTGTGATTCATTTCTATTCTAAGACACTTTCATTGTTATACCTAATCAATGTTAAAAAGAAAGGCAAACCCTTTAACTTTATTAATAATTCTTAAGTACTAATCTTAGGTACCAAGTCTCTAAAATCTGGTCAAGGATTTTTCTATTTGTTATTCAGTCCACAGATTTTAAAGAAACTTTACATCCACTTAAAATATGTTCTAGATTAATTTAATTATAAAATATTTCTTATACTAGTTCTGCATTTACTTATACGTACATATAGCACTCATTAATAAATCATCCAAGAAGGTTTAAAGAGAATTTGCAAAAAGTAATATTAAATAAATGTATTTTAAGTCTATATTATTACTTCCTAATTCTTTATTATATTTTATAATCTATACATATAATAAAATTGTAACTAAGCCGAATCTGTACAATTAATATTTTTTGGAATCTTATTGAAATAGACATTATTATCGATACAGAGGCCGAATCTATAGTTTTTAGAATTTTTATCTATCTGTCTGTCTGTTACCGCATAACGGAAAAACTAGTAGAGGGATTTTGATAAATTTTGGTATGATGATAGCTGGTTATCCGGGTCAACATATACAATACTTTTTACTGCGGGAAAATATCTCATACCTGAGAAATCTATACTAAGCGTTAAAACGTAAGTGGAGACGAACCCAAGCGGAGTGTGGGTGAGTCGCTAGTAAATGAATAAATTCATTTATTCGAGTAACAGTGACTTATTTTGTTAGTATAGGTAGATACACAAAAACTTATTGTATGTTAGTAAAATTATAATTACAATACCTTATCTTTTAAAAAAACTCAAGAATCTTTTCGGGGTTTTTATTATAAAAAACGTAATATATCATGTGTCGAATAACTTTTTCAAATTCTTTAAACAAGGTTTTCAGTTAATGTTTATCCCGGACCCGTCACGGATCCGGTGTCAAACGTTGTTTGGTCGGAACATTAAAATCTGAACCTCGACAACAGCGCTATTTATCGGGTAGAGCTCCCAAAAAAAAATCATGAAAAGCAGTTGAAAAGGAGAAAAATTACGAACACACCAACATTCAAAATGATGTCCTTAAGTCAAATAAGTACTAAATGCTTATTAAACATATTATTCACGTGTCATATAAATAAATCTAAAATTATATTTAACTATGTGCGTCGAATTACAGGTATAACATTTTAAAAGCTACGCCAATAAAATAAATCATAAGACTTTATGTAGAGGTTATAATAATTATACAATTTAATTTCGACTCTACAATTTATATATGGCTTTTCCATGTATACAATTTATTTGCAAGTTTAAAATATTCTTATGTATTTTTTCTATAACTTTATATACTAAAAAAATGTTTCAACTCTAACATAATAATATTACGTATAGAGATTAATATAATTTAAATAAAACTTACAGCAGTAAAACAACGTAAGTCCATATTGCTACCGGATTTATTGTTTAATTAACACGTCCGCTTCTTATACTGTGCTAATTATATAAACGAATCTAAAACAACTCGGCCGTAAGACGTTAGCGAAAAAAGGCGCTATTCGTGGTACGCCATTGTGCACAGTGACTAGAGATCCTAAGATTCATCCGGTGATATTAGCACCGTGACGTGATTGAACTACAGGTTGTTGCACGTGACTTTAATCTATATATTTGATGATGAAGAAACAGAAGCTCACTTTCTTTAAAGATATATTAATTTAGAAGAAAAATAATAATTATATTAGTATTACTGTTTTTTTTTGGTTTGGGTGCAACAATTGACTAAGGAAACTTAAGCTCAGAGTCAAAAAATATACTCAGAAGTACTCGTAATTCAAATAGAAGCTATCCTTCATGAAAATATTTCGCAAACCAAATTTCACATTAACAATAATAAAAATTATTAAAATCACACAAAAAATTATGTAGGCGCATGTGTTATTGTTATTAGTCTACTTCTACTTATTTATTTTTATTTATTTACTTCTTTTTACACATTGTATCAATTCAATGATCACTTGTGTACGTCAATTAGAAGACTTAAACTAAAGCTACGAGGGTTCGTAACGCGCCCTGGTCTGAGAAGAACCCACAAGAAACTCAGCCAAGTAACATTTTTTATTGTGATCATTGTTTCACAAACATCCTTACTTCAGTATAAAGAGCAATTCATTCCCAAGCTTTTTTATCACTTAAATAATCCTTTACATTATAATAGGATTTATTTATTAATTGTCTTTTAATGTAAATTTTAAATTTATTTATTGACAGTTTTAAAGTATCATCTGGTAGTTTATTGTAAAAGCGAATACTATTACCAATAAAGGAATTACCAATTTTATGGAGCCTAGTGGTGGGCTGAACTAGCTTATTTTTGTTTCTAGTGTTTACATTATGCAGGTCACTATATTTCTTGAATTTATCAATATTTTTATGTACATATATTAGATTTTGATAGATGTATTGGCAGTGTACAGTCATTATTTTAATTTCTTTAAACTTATTCCGCAAAGATTCTCTTGGGCCTAAATTATATATAGCTCGAACAGCCCTTTTCTGCAGCACAAAAATTGTGTCAATATCAGCAGCATTACCCCATAGTAAAATACCATATGACATAATGCTGTGAAAATAGCTAAAGTATACTAACTTAGCTGTCGTTACATTTGTTAATTGACGTATTTTCTTAACCGCGTAGGCTGCAGAACTGAGCTTATTCGATAATTGAGAAATATGAGGGCCCCATTGGAGTTTGGCATCTAATGTAATGCCTAGAAATACAGTGGTATCAGCTAGATCTAGTTCCTCATTATTCAGTCGTACATTGGTTTTTACACTTTTAACATTTGGTAAAGTGAATTTTACACATTTTGTTTTTTTCTCGTTTAGTAAAAGGTTGTTGACATTAAACCATTGTACCACTTTGGATAAAGCAATGTTCACATCGTCAATTACTGCTTGTCGTCTGTTAACTTTAAAAACTAAAGATGTATCATCAGCAAACAAAACTATCCCGTGGTCATCCTTTACGAGGTATGGTAGGTCATTTATATAAATGAGGAACAAAAAAGGACCCAAAATTGAACCTTGTGGTACACCCATTTCAACAACTGATCCAGGGGAACGCTTTCCATTCACGTCTACCCTCTGGATTCTTTCATTCAAATATGATCTAAGTAAATCCAGAGCCTTATCTCTAATTCCGTAGTGGTGTAATTTTCTGACCAACGTTTCATGATGAACGCAATCAAATGCCTTGGACAAATCACAGAAAATGCCAAGTGCATCACGTGACTCCTCCCAGGCCTCAAATATATTTAGAAGTAACGCGACTCCAGCATCGGCTGTTGAACGACCGCGAGTGAAACCGTATTGCTTTACATGTAATAGTTCATTATTATAAAAATGTTTCGTAATTTGAGTTAACATTATTTTTTCAAAGATTTTACTAAATGTAGGTAATATTGAAATAGGCCTAAAATTAGTGGCATCAGAGGTACAACCCGATTTAAACAAAGGAATAATTTTACTAAGTTTCATTAAGTCAGGAAAC